TTAGATAAATGTCTATCAGGGATGGTCTAGACAGTATTTGGTCCTGCCATGAGGGCAGGGGACTGGACTCGATGACCTCTCGAGGTCCCTTCCAGTCCTAGAATCTATGAATCTATGAATCTATAAGAGTTCCACCCTGTAGCACTGTACAGCTTTAGTTAGCTTGATTAGCAGTTTTTCAAATAATCCTTAAAGTTCACCTTTAAATCCAAAAAACCCCCAAGGAATATTTTCCGTTTAAAGCCGCAGCATCTCTTTACAGAATTCTGTTCGCACCAGGTGGCTGTAGGAGGTTTAATGGTGCTTCAGGGGAGCTGTAGTAACATACTTACTTTGGCTATCTGAGCCAGATAGAAGTCAATGAAATCCTGTGGTTTGTCTGGTATGCCTCTCTCCTTGTGGCTTCTGATCTCCTTCCTTATGAAAGAACGCACAAATTCACAGCAAGAGTTTGCCTTCTGTTGAGGCCCTGGGAGATGATGCATGAGCCAGGGGAGAAGTTCAAACAGCTGTGGAAGAGAGAAATGGAAGGAGCGGAGAGTTACTTAACATTAGAAAGGTAACGGTAGATCTCAGAATAGACATTTTGGTAGTGGAATCAGTGAATTTATTACTCCCATGAGTACATTTCAGCATCATATAGAAAAATAACATTGGGAACACAATGTTTCTATTTTGGGACTGAGAGCGCACATGCTGCATGATTTCTATCCCTGTGTTTACAAAGTGATCCTCAGAATTATAGCCTATTTCCAGCTCAAACACTACCTAGATTATAATTGCCATGACAATGCTAAAACAATCACATTAAGACACTGGGAGAGCAAGACGCAGAATCATGGACTTTTTTTTAATCCGTCTCAGCGGCTTATTAAAAAAAGTGATATGTAGGGCCAAATTCCGCCCTGACTTCAATGGGGTTGCACAGGGTGAAAGGCACAGCAAAATCTGGCCAATAAGATTCAGAATACACTCGATTTGTTTAAGGATCTTTTGTGTCCCTGCATATTTATACAAAACTTTCAGAACCAGATGTAAAATATTTATGTTATAGATACTTCAAACTTGAGGCACAGAGGATAGAATAGGAGGTGACAGCTCATGAAATGTACACAGGGTTCATCTGTTGCCCTGTTCCTTAGCAGCCTGAATTCAAGTCGCTCAAGATCCCAGGTACCAAACTTCCCTATTCTCAGGTTTTCAATCAATTCCTCCCTTCTAAGTAAGTAGATCCAGGTTGGCATCTCTCTGGCGCATCTGCTGGAGTGAAAATGAAAAATTCCTGAACCAATTTTAACGATACAGGTTGAACCTCTCTAGTTCAGCACTCTCTGGTCTGGCAACAGCCGTGGTCCGGCATGATTTTATTCTGTTTTTTATGCTTTATCTACTTATTTCCTTGTGCCAATACAGTAAAATTGTGTAACAACCCTAACACTTTGTTATGAAGACAGCCAGTAAACCTTGGCTAGGCAGTGTTGCAAGCGTTGTTCCGTTTATTCGCCTCGACGAGATAAAAATAAAAAGAGACCCGCTCGCTACAATAGTGACCTCCCATAGTTCAGCAAATTCTCTGGCTCGGCACCGGTCAGGTCCCAAGGGTGCCGGACTAGAGAGGTTCAACCTGTACTTAAAACAACAGAATACTGTATTCGCACCGGACTTTACTTACACTCCTGTTGTGTAGCAAATATAGCCAAACATGTAATGTTTATTGTCTACACAAAGTACAGGGCCACCTTTATCACCTAGAAATAGACAATACAACCACATAGATTCCTCATTGTCTGTCCATGCTTTGTAAGTTCGCCCAAACTATTTCACATTCTCCACTACCAAGGTATATCTCCCTGACTGATCAAACACTTTTGACACAGTGCCATCCATTACTTTTTATTCCCCTTCTCTCTCCCCCGCAGGGATTATATAGTATCCCTCTAGTTAAGTGAACCATCAGCTTCAGTTATGCCACTAAGTCAAAACTCATTGGCTTACTTTACAGTGTGGCTTCCACATGAGCAACACGCATCCTCCCACAAATATTCTCACAATCCTGACATGGATTGTCTTGTGGCATGGGAGTCCTGTTTCCATTGCATAACTCAATCCTAATACCATCCACCCATTCGCCAGGAGGAGAAACCAGCAGAGGGATCATTACAGGATCTGCCCACTCAAAACCATTATTTGTCATCCTAAGACGTGCTGTACATTCATACCACCATGCCATCACAAACCCATGCCTCTGACTTTACAGGATAAACATTATTAACACATAATATCTAAAGGCAGAATATCAAATCACATTATTAAACACAAACTTGACTGTGTTACATCTTAATAACAGCAATGTTCCCAGCACATGACAGTTCAGCATCGTAAGTATCTGACCGATACTGGGAAATTTTAACAAACAGCATCAGACTCCTGCTTGAGCCACCCAGGCTCAGGGTGCTCTGTTACAAACGCTAGTAGTTCCAGGCACTGCTGAGTTCTTTAAATGATCATGTTCACAGTCAAACCTTGCATCTGCATTTCTCATTTCAAAAGAAAAGAGATTATTTGCTCACCAAAAAATGGAAACTGTTCCCAAAAGCCAATATACAGTCGAAGGCTTCAATCAGTCGGTGGAAGGTTTCATCCTCTAAGGAGAAACGATGTCCAAAAACCACAGCACAAATCACGTTTGAGACAGCATGAACAATGGGGACAGAAGGATCCAGAGATTTCCCTGCAAACAGTCATAGAATCATAGAATATCAGGGTTGAAAGGGACCTCAAGAGGTCATCTAGTCCAACCCCCTGCTCAAAGCAGGACCAACCCCAACTAAATCATCCCAGCCAGGGCTTTGTCAAGCCAGGCCTTAAAAACCTCCAAGGAAGGAGACTCATTGTGAAGAGTATTATTAATACTTTCCTGTTACTGCTTCTCTATCTAGTGGGGTAGGTAAAAATTGCACACAATCCCAGAGACCACCTATGTCAATTCCATTGTTGGAAGAGAGACCAAAATTCAACAAGAAAAGTAAATATAAAGAAATAAAACCGCCCCCCAGAAAGCAGCTTGCTCAGAAAAGGGCAAATTGTTAAACTAACTCTCCCCAGCCCTTGTGCTCACAGAAAGATTCCAGTATACAGATTCTAAAGGAACTTATATTTTAAAAAAGGCATCACAATATGTCAAACAAAACACAAGGGTAGGGAAAAATAAACCCATGTCAGTGAACCATTCAAGCAGCCAGGAATAACCTATCTAAAGACCATCCCCCTTTTCCTTTGACCCCTCCCCCATCTTACTCCAGAACAATAGAATAACTATAAATAAGACTATTTACAAGTACAATCCATTAGCCAATGGCACGATCGGATCAACATTCCCCTCTCACTAAAATAGATTCTAGCATCCCATGTTGAGAGAGACCTTTTGCTGAGTGTGTAATTGCTGCTCCATTTGTTGTACAGTTCCTGCACACTCGGTATCTAACTCACTGTCTTGTAAGTATATAAAAAGAGAGATTGTAAATAAAACCTATATTGATTTCTTCTCCTATTCCCCCACCTTGTAGTCAAGCTCTTCCCTCTGGTCAGTACAACCACTGGCATTTGTTTTACATTAGAACGGAGTTGCTCTGGGTTTAAGCTCTTTCTCAAGCTATGTGGTTGAGGGGCCTTGGACACGTCACTTAACCTCCCTGTATCGAAGTTTCCTTAGCTTTAGGGCATGGCTACACTTGCAGATGTAGAGCGCTGTGAGTTAAACCAGCCTTCGGAGAGCGCAGTAGGGAAAGCGCTGCAGTCTGTCCACACTGACAGCTTCAAGCGCACTGGCGTGGCCACATTTGCAGCACTTGCAGCGGCATTGGGAGTGGTGCATTATGGGCAGCTATCCCAGCATGCAAGTGACTGCAACGTGCTTTTTAAATGGGGGGGGTGGAGTGTGACAGGGAGTGTGTTGTGTGTATATGGGGGGAGAGAGAGTGGGTTTTTGGGGGGCTGAGAGCATGTCAGCATGCTGTCTTGTAAGTTCAGACAACAGCAGACCTCTCCCCCCCCGCCTCTCTCTCTTACACACAGCATTGCACAGTAATGGTTGCTTTTTCTCGGAGCAGCTAAGCAGCCGGCTGTCAGAAACGGAGCTTTGGAAGGGCATATCTGCATGCCTGCAGTGATTCCAAAACAATGACAAGAGTGGCCTCTTGACTTAAGGGAATTATGGGATGTTTCTGGAGACCAATCAGAGCGCAGTAATGCAACACCCCGTTCACACTGACGCCCGGGTGTAGTAGCCAAGGCGCATCAAACATTATTCCACTTGCCGAGGTGGAGTACCAGGAGCGCTCTAGCCCTGGAGTCAGAGCGCTTTACGTGCCTTGCCAGTGTGGACGGGTAGTGAGCTAGGGCGCCCGGGGCTGCTTTAATGCGCTCTAACTCGCAAGTGTAGCCAAGCCCTTAGAGAGGTAAGGGATACTGTGAGACTTAATTCATTACTGTTATCTAGGTACTCTGATACGTCGGTGATGAGTGTCAGAGCTGCCGATAAATAATCAATTAACACGGATACAGAAGAACGCGGACCCTAAAGCCTCCGTCCTAGCTCCCAACCCTGGGCTTTTATATGTAGCTCTTTTGAGAATGAAATCTTCATGTTAGGAATAAAATACATGCTAGTGAGACTCAGCTCTGCCTGTAGACCTGTATTCCACTCCAGTGATTCAATGAAACGGCCCCAAGAACTACAGATACTCCATTCTGGAGCAGAGGGAGCCTGCTTGGTCTCACAGACTAGTTCACATGCCGGCAACACGACTGTAGTTAAAAACCACTTTAGCAGTGATGTACCTTTCACAGTCTCAAAGTACCCCACCAGGTGACGGGCCTCCTCTTGGATTTGGTGCTCCAGGCCTTTCTTGCCTAGTCCCAGGTTCCGCAGGGTCATCAGCCCAAAGCGTCTCTGCTGCTTCCAGGTGTGACCACTTGAGAACATAATACCTGAGGCCATTGAGAATCAGTTACCTGTCACACTAATATTTATGAAAAGCAAAACTATGTACACATCCCTACAATATACTTTCTATCATTAGGACTAAATCCAGAACCATGGGGCTTAGTTCTTTTATCTGAGATCTTGCTGGGACATAGAAACAACATGGATTGGAACCATCCGAGAAAAGTCTCCTGTTAAAAAAGGGATTGTTTGGTTGGTTTTTATTGTAAATGTGAGATTAAAAAGCTGAAGATAAATGGATGTTATTCACTAACAGTAATTCTTGTTCTCTGTTGCCTCCATAGAAACCCGATTTAGGAATGGTTACAAAAAGTCACTGACTCTTTTGGGGCAGTGGTTGGCAATTAAAGGGTGTGCGCCATTCCCTTGAGCTCTACACTCTACATAGCGAGAGTATACAGAACCCACTCTCTTCCAGCCCCTCAGTTCTTCACTACCCCCAAATGCCCTATTTGCAGCTGGGCTCTGAAGCAGAGGAAAGGAGGGAGGGTCTGTGTGAAGGACACACATCCAGAGAATGTAAGTTACTGTAGGCAGGTAACCCCGTTTTCTCCTTCATGACACTGTCTTCGCAAAGCTTCCCAGGAGGCATTTATCCAGCAGTGACTTCCTTGGGAAGGAGGGTTGGGGAGCCCCGATAGTCGAACAGCTGCCCTCCCAAAACCAGCCTCTGCTCTTGATGCAGTGTCAAGAGAATAGTGGTTAGTAAGAGTGTGAAGCAAGCTCCACCCAGCAGCCCTATAGAGTTCATATAAAGGCTCAGTGCAGCTATGTGCCATTGTGGCTGTCCTCTCCTGAGTTGACTGGGCCCTGAGACATTCAGACATAGGCACATCCCCTAGTTCAGGGCATGAAGGGGTGTAAATCCTTATCCACATAGATAGCCTTTAAGCCAAGGTCACTTGACTTTGAGACTTTTCTCCAAAGGCCACAAATATTCTCTTGGACCTTCTCAACAGCTTAATTCTAGGACAGATAAGGTAGGTGAGGGAATATCTTTTACTGGACCGACTTCTGTTGGTGGACGGTACAAGCTCTTCCTCAGGTCTCATTCTAAGACAGGCTTTCCCACCATTTTCATAAGATGGACCACATCCTAATAAAGAGATTGTAAATGTTGGGAGACACAATCACAAATCCACCTAGGGTGACCAGACAGCAAGTGTGAAAAATCGGGACGGGTTTGGGGGGGTAATAGGAGCTTATATAAGAAAAAGACTCCAAAATCGGGACTGTCCCTATAAAATCGGGACATCTGGTCACCCTAAATCCACCCCTGTGGGAATTAGAGCAGCTGCTTACCAGGACAAACAGACTTAGCAGAGTGCTTTTAGCTTCTTATAATGCACTTTGGAAACAAGGAGGCGAACTGGCACCATGTGACCAGCCAGGTTTCTGCTGGCCACCAGAAAGTCCTCAGCAGTCCATCAGGGAGGTCTAGGGGTTGCAGATACTGTTAACCAGACTTATGGGAGGTCCTTTGAGCCCATTGAGTCTTGCACTCTATACAACCTTTTGCTGAAGTTTTTCTTCTTCATGACCAGAACCTCAGTGGAGAGAATTTTGGCATTGCAGTCCCTGATGGCCCACCCAGCTGATAACATATTCCACAATGACCCGGGGGTTCCAAGGCCTCATCCCAAATTTCTGTTCAACATTGTATCTGAGTTTCATTTCAGACTATACCTCTGCCTGTATTTTCCACTAACCCCATTAGTTAATACTTCAACCCAAGATTCCCTAACTGCCGCTTGTGTGTAAGGAAGTCTTGCTGAGTTTAAGGGGTGCAATTACATCCCGGCAGCTGGCAATTAGGGGTGGTGGGACTAAGTTCCACCTTTGATGTTCCAGTCGTTAGCCACAACAATCCCCAGTCACTACTGCCCTGCACCTTGTGCTGTCACTTACACCAATGCAGAGTGGAAAACATCATCACTATGATTTGACAGCATTTTGCACCCACTTCGCACAGGTGTGAATGATGACACAAGCTGCAACACAACGGTGAAACAGACCCTATGTTGTATTTACCAGATGACTTGTGAGTGCAGCGTGCAGCACCCCCTACTGTGGATATCACGTGGGGCTGGGACTTCTCCAGTGCACCCAAGGGACTCCTGGTGGGCCCATGATCTACTTAATCCTCACCTGGAGTCTCTGTAGCAAGGCACCAGATAGAGCAAGGTCAGTGTGGTGACATCGGGCCTCTGAACGGCTATTTCTGATTAGCCCCTCAGAGAAAACGAATGGAGCCCCTTCTGTTTCTCGAGAACCAGTAACCAGCGAGGGGAAAGAGAGGGAGTTGGAATTAGCAGTTCACATTTTTATTTTTTTTTATTTTGGGGCAGTCTTGTGATCTTTGGTGATGTCAAAAAAGTTTCTCTGGATTTGAGGATTACTAGCATCCATCTTGTGAATTTTGCCCTTATTCACAACGGCGGCCTTTTCCCATTACTTCACAAAGGAATGAATTCCTGATGGCAACAATTTCCCTATAGCCTCTGCTTGCCCCTAGTAAAAATGATCGCTAACCCCCTTTGTTTCCAGTGCTGCCATAAGGGAAGACAACCAGAAGGCAAAGGCAGCGCAGCTAAGGAACCGAACAGGAAACGGTGAGGAGCCGAGGGACTGTGTGAGGTAGGAATGGGACTTGGAAGAGACTGGAGGGAATTCAGGGAAATGCATATGTGCTGGGAGGTGAATATGAAGGAGCCAGAGGGAGACTGAATGTATGCGGAGGAGTGGAAAGGCAAGAGGAAGAATGAGGAGGAGAAGGAGGAACACAGTGTAGGGTGCAGGGGAAGATTTATCCTTTCCATTTGCCAATCGTTTGAAGACAGGGGTCTCCAGCCGTCCAGAAAACTCTTCAGGGTGGGTGTTCAGCCCATCCTTCACTGCTTGGAACCCATGCAGCACGACCCCAGGGGTGTGTCCCAGCCACAAAGTGAAGATGTTGCCATGAACTTCTGCCATCTGTGGGTTGGACCAGTGCCAGAACAGCACAGGTGAAAAAACATCATGCCAAACAGTCAGGATTAGGCCCTACCAAATTCACGGCCATGAAAAACACGCCATGGACCGTGAAATCTGGTCTTTTCTGTGCTTTTACCCTATACTATACAGATTTCAGGTGGTCGCAAGGTTATTGGAGGGGGGTAGCAGTATTGCCACCCTTACTTCTGCACGGCCTTCAGAGTTGGGCGGCCTGAGTGGCGGTTGCTGACTGAGGGCCCAGCTCTGCAGGCAGCAGCGTAGAAGTAAGGGTGGCAATACCAGACCATGGCATCCTTCCTTCTGTGCTGCTGCTGGCGGCGGCTCTGCCTTCTGAGCCGGGCTCCCGGCCAGCAGCTGCCCCTCTGCAGCTGCCCAGCTCTGAAGGCAGCACCGCCACCAGCAGCAGCACAGAAGTAAGGCTAGCAATACCGCTAACCCGCCCCCCTACAATAACTTTGCGACCCCCCCTACAACTCCTTTTAGGGGCAGGACCCCGACTATCACAACACTACGAAATTTCAGATTTAAATATCTGAAATAATGAAATTTACGATTTTTAAAATCCGATGACCGTGAAATTGACCAAAATGGACTGTGAATTTGGTAGGGCCTTAGACATGATGAACCTGCTCTCTTCTTTGAGAAGGGTGATTCAGGGGTTCAGTACTGAGGCAGGGACCTGTCTTTTTGTTCTGCTTGCACCGCACAGTTGTATTCATTTAGATTATATAAATAGGCCTAAAGAGTCAAATGTGTGAACATGACCCTGTCGCTGTCCAACGTTAAAGAGTTTTAAACAAGGTTTGGGGTTAGGTATACAGAAACCTCAGCCTGCTTAGTACCATGGCAAACACCGTTACCAACCCTATTAAAGATAGAGAAAAAGAAGGGAAAACAGTTAAAGCGGTTGAAAGTAAGGCTTTCATTTTAAGAGTGTCCCTTGTTCCCTACCCGTAGCTGGAGAAAATTTTTAAAAGGAGCCCACCCCTCTATTTAACAGCCTCTTAGTCGGTATTAAAGATGGTGATCATTGTCTTTCTGGGGAAAAGAGAAGTTAGTTGAGATGAGCTGGAACTCCTTGTTAAAGTCCAATCCCATTTCCTAGCAGACAAAACTAGACAAACGCACACACG